GACTAAACTGAGTGCCTGGGAGGATGGATTTGCTACCTGTCAAGGTGGGTCACTATAAGAGAAGCAGAACTTGGGGGTAAGATCTTGAGTTGATTTTGGATATGATAAGCTTAAGATGCCTATGAGACACCAAAGTAGAAACGCCTACCAGACAGCTAGATCTTTAAGTTTGGAGTTCAGAGAAGTGGTCAGCAGCTTATACATGGTATTGAAATCCTGCTTAAGATGCCTATGAGACACCAAAGTAGAAACGCCTACCAGACAGCTAGATCTTTAAGTTCGGAGTTCAGAGAAGTGGTCAGCAGCTTATACATGGTATTGAAATCCATGTGACCAGATTAGATAACAAGGGAGGGAAAGTAAGTAGAGAAGAGAAGTTCAAGGACTAAAGTGTAAGGTGCTCCAGTGTGAAGAAGAGAAAAACCAGCAAAGGAGATTGAAAAAAAGCAGCCCATTAAAACAAAAGTTGGGGTAAAGTTTCAGTTCACCAAGTGAATAAGACATATTTCAAAGAGGAAAGAGAGTAAGGTGAGGACTGTGAAGTCACAGACCAACCTGATGACGGCATTTTGTAGAGCAGTGGAAGAGTGAGTTCAAGACAAAGCGTGAAGCGTGCAGCTGAAGCCCAGCGCTCGCAGCCCCTGTGAGCCTTGCCCTAAGGAAGAGAGGAGTAATGGGGGGTAAGCCAGAGGGTATAAGGTTGAGAAAGATTTTCTTTCTCTCTTTCTGGAAAAACTACAGCATGTCTCGAGGCTGATGGAAACTGATCATGCAAGAGAGAGAGTAGAATTGCTAGAGCCGTGTCCTTGAATCAGTGAGAAGAAACAGAATCCAGGGCATCCAGGGAGGGCTGACCTTTGCCAGGAGCACAGACAATTCAGCCATGGTCCCAGAAGGGACCTGCAGGGAAGTGAGTCATATGAATGAAAACTCCCTAACGATCTCTGCTATTTTCTCAAGAAAATAGGAAACAAGGTCATCAGCTGTGAATGAAGATGGTGAAGAACATCTGAGGAAAAAGCAGACCTGAAAGCACCACCTAGGAGCATGTAAAGTCCACTTAAGATGCTGGCTGTCCATGTGACGGAGGATAGGCATGGGAGTAGTGCCAGTGGCAGAGAGTGCAGAGAAGGCTCAGGCTTGCCAGGCTCGAGCACAACACGAGGGGCCTTCAAAAAGTTCATGGAAAGAGTTGTATTACCCTTTAATCCTGTTTTTCTGTAACTTTTTGAAGTGCCCTCACACAGTGAAACAGGGAAAGAATGTCTGCACAGGGCTTATCCTAACCCAGCCTGGGAGTTTGAACTGTGTCAGTAAGTTGGGGTATGACGCAAACGAGGAGAAAGGTAAGGAGAAGCTACGAGGATAAGTGGCACATTAAGTCTGTACAGTGAAGAACTGTAAGAGTGGAGCACTAGAGGAAGTGAGCTAGAAAATAAGAGGTGGTGGTTGGAGAGTGGGATGTGAGATTATGCAATAGCCTGAGTCGTCACTGATGACAAGGCCTGGGTGATGTCACAGGCATGAGTGACTGTGGCAGATCATCAGAAGAGAGAGGGCAAGGAGCTTCCCAGAGTATTAGAAAGATCAAGTGTGTGGTCACTGAAATCACCATGAATACAACAGGCCCAGAATTAGAATGATAAGGAATGAGGAGCTGACATCCTCCAGGAAGGAGTAGGAATGGCCTGGGAGATGAGGAAATGACAGGAAAAGGTGGCAGCCTGATGACATGAGATTCAAAGCACTGGAGAACAGCAACGGAGCACAAGAGGACACCCACCCAAACCCCAGGAGTAAAAATGAGGGTGTGGGCAAGAACGGAGTAACCGCATGAGAGGGTCACAGGGAAGCAATGTGTGCTAGGGAGAGCCAAGGTTCCTTGAGCAACAAGATAATGTTGAGAATATAGAGGTTTTGTTAATGAGTGAACTCTCAATTCCAAATGGTATAAGCAGAACATTTCAGGAGCTAGGGGAATGTGGAAAATCAGTTCAAAATTGGGTGTACAGAGACTAGGGGACAGGGTCCGGGATACAAGGAACCTAGATGTTCTGAGCCCCCTGTGCTGACAGTCATAAAGAGGGGTGAAGGGCAAAATGTATCCATTAGTGCTGAGGGCCTCATGGGAGACAGTATAGGGGAAAGAAGGAGAGGCAGGAAGGGATGGGTGTCTTCTCAGGACCATGGTAAGCTCTGTGGATATCCATCTACTCCTGCCAGGATAGAGACATGGGGAAAGGGCTATCTTAGCCAAATGATGGGAGTTCTGGGGCTCCCTCCTGCAGAAACACATAGAACTCCTTCCCCTCCACTTATTTTTTCAAGGGTTTAAGCACTAGATAAAATCTTTACAGGTTCTTATCCTTTTTCCCCACTCTTCTTTAGTCAACAAGTCTATGATCATGAGACTTAGAACATTCATCTGCATAACATCTGGTGCTTAGAATGTACAATAAAAAGGAACGGAGAAGGTAGAGAGTTGACTGACAGCAAGACAGCCTCCTTAGATACTGATCAACATATAATAGTGCACAGCTCTGCTTTATTTTACTAACATATTTTATGAAATAATAGCAATATTAACAAGAACAAAATCTCCCAACAGCTCTAAACCTACAGCACCATCAAATGTCGAATAAGAATAATGGAGAAATCACAGTCAGGCATTCATTCCATCATAAAGCTACACTGATATTTTAAAAGCCATGCATGAAAATTCAACTCCAGTAATATAATAACTACCAAAACAAGTCATCTTACCTTCAAGAAAAAAACAGTGTTATTATTCATACAGTAAAGCACTACTTGATATTGCTTAAGTATAATGTTTTTTCAGAAAACTGTAACACTGAGCTCAGAGTGAACCATGCAGATGTCCCAGAGACTCCAATGGTGTGTACCACACCCCAACACAGGCTAAGGAAAGCACACTCAATATGCCATCAGCAAAACACCATCACAAATTCTGTGATCAACCAGAACTGTAATTAGTGTTTTTTTAAAAGTCTTTTACTCTCATTACTCTGTGATTCCTTTTTAATAGAAAGAGTAAAAAAAATGAAAACTTTAGTTTTGTTTTATAATTTAAAAATATAAAATAATTTTTACAACAAAATGCATTTGACATAACACTAAATTAAATAAAATCCATGGGGATGGTTTGTCTTACTAACCTATTTCTACACTTTCTTAAAAAATACCAAATCATGAAATGTTTTCTTCCTCTGCACATATTGATAAACATACTCTACTGAAGCTCACAATTCTTATTAGTCAAAATGTCCATTTTGCCATAGAACTATTTATGTTATAAACAAATCCTTTAACCTGTTATTTCCCACCTGAAACAGTCCATGGTGGCTAACCAGCAGCAACCAGCAAAATCATCATAATTATCCTAACATATCATTAAAGAGTTTCACTGAAAAGATTTTAAAGACAACCTACCAGATAGAACAGTCATAAATAGTTCATGGCCTACCAAAATGGTATAAAATAAAATAATTCTAAGCATTAGCTATCATATTCTCAATCCTCTCCAAACCCAAACCAACTCTTCCTATAACATTCCTCTGCTAGCTGGGGAATTTTATTTATTTTGGCTTGGATTCATTTTATAATACATTTAGCCTTCTAGCAACTTTTCAACTTCTTTAGATATAACAAACCCAAACCCAAACCAACTCTTCCTATAACATTCCTCTGCTAGCTGGGGAATTTTATTTATTTTGGCTTGTATTCATTTTATAATACATTTAGCCTTCTAGCAACTTTTCAACTTCTTTAGATATAACAAACCACTTCTGAATTTGAAGAGCCAAAGTTTTCTAAAGGGAACTTTTTTCTCCTACTGTAGAAGAGGAAAGTGAGAAAAGGTGATATTTTTGTTTTTGTTTTGTTTTGGTTAGATTTAATTCAAACTGTTTAATCTATGGAGTACAACATTTTACCCTTCCTGAATCTTAGCCTCCTGATATGTAAGATAGAAATAGCATATACCTCAGACTGAAACATAATCCCACATTGCAGGAGGCAGCTTGACATCTATTCTTTACAACTCAGGCATAAGACAAATTTATTATTAATATTGACTGCTTTAATGATTTTATACGGCTGACATTGTTGATTGACATTTATAATTCTGAAATTAAATAGGCTTAAATGTTAAAATAGCTTTAATAAAGTTAGAATAAAAAATATGTAGTTCCAGTTTAAAAGTTTATCTGTATGAGAGTATTTAATGCTACTGTCAAGAATTCTTTAGAATAGATACAAACTGAAATTCTTTGATCTAAATATTATCAACTTTATACTGATCAAACATTACCAAGCTCTAAATATTATCAACACTCAGGTTCATAATTTAAATTTATTATTTATAATTGAAGAAAGTAGGTACATTTCTTCCTATTTCTCAATATTTCATATTTAAAGTAACCTTCCATATTATACCTACTCTTGAATTATGATTCTGAATTATGGTTAACTATTAATAACCTGATCGGGGGGGGGGGGGGGGGTTTCAA